TCTAACAGTTTGACAGCTAATACACTTGTGTTTCATTTTCAAATTTATATTGTAAAAACACATATAACTGCATTCAAATCACATAAAACTAATCTCAGAAAGAATCGCAGAATTCTTTGTTAAATCTGAAAAAGAATCTCCCACAGAGAATCCCCTTCAATTGAATTCAATTCTGTTGTATAGGGTTGGTTTGTTGGATTTTGATACACACACTATAAGTTTAATGAGGAAGTTTTATGAATTATTTTTTAAAAACATGAACAAAAGTCAAATAAATTTATACGCAAGATTGGCGACTGGATTTCAGCGCTTGGGTTAAATATACTTAAAATATATTATGTACATGTTTTGGTATATACAATGTGATAATTTCATATTTTGAAAGCTTCTCAATTTTACCTGAGATGTTTAGTCTCCTGTAATTTTTGTAGGTATCATTTAAAATTTTCTTAAAAAATATTTTTCTCCAGCAGTATTACACCTTTAAAAGAATAGCTTCATTCTGTAAGCCAGTATGGCGGAATTAGAATTGAGTTTAAATTTGTAGGTTTGTCCACCAGTGTAGCCATTCACAGGCTTAGTAACTAATTTAACCGTTCTGGCCCCTCACTTCACAACTGTGAATTAAGTTTAGCAATGATTACCTTAGAGGACTATATAAGAGTGAAATGGTATATAATATACTTTGGAATATGGCCTGCCATAATGGAGGCACTGAGTTTGTCACTCTTCAAGGGATAGGATCAGGTCTCATAATACATTTTGTAGTCACAACATCAAAGCACCAAGCTTATAGTGCATCTCAATAAGTGTATGCTAAAAGAATATATATATTTTTTACTTTTATGCTTGTAACAGAAGAAAGACAATCTGGAGCAAAATAATTTTGGAAAAGTGTTATTAACTTTAGATACATTCCCACAATATATCACTCTTTAACACATTTTTCACCTCTGACGTGAATTTTCAGCTTCAGTATTTAAGGATTTAAGTTGATCCTCTTGAGTATTCCTTCGTTATTTATATATATATATATATATATATATATATATATATATATATATATATATATATATATATATATATATACTTTTACTGAGAGAAAGATGGGAATTTGACAATTATCTAATTTAGTCCTAAGTGATAGCTTTCTATAAAAATAGAATCCATTTATAAGACCAATCAGTGTGTTTTATTTAGTAATAAAATGTCAATTTGAAGGACTTTCTTAGAAAGCACCATATTAACTATACAAAACAACTCTTTTCCAAGCAATGAGACTTTTTTGCACATGGTTAAGAGACCAAATTTCTCTTCTATTTACCCAATCACCTAAATGTCTACTGCTGTTCCAGCCCTTCAATTCCTCTCCAACTCGAGTTTACTTCACCTTCTAAAATTCCCCCACTGACTGCCGAAGCTAACCATGAAGGCAAATTCTAGCTGCCTCTAGCATCCTAGCTAATCTGAAATATGAACACAGCACATGCATTATGCTCAAACTTTTACTCACATGTGCAACATTAAAAGTGACCAAGTTGGTCTTCTGTAAACGTCCAAATCAAAAAGCAATCACTACTATGTTTTCCCTTGTATATAATTTACTACTTTTTTAAGCTTGCACATGTCTATTGATGAGACAGCCCATTCTAATTTCAGGTAAAGTAGCGTTCTGACACTTTGACATTATTCTTCTGATTTCCACTTTCGGAGGAAAAGAGATAAAATTAAATTCATTATTAGTGTGCGAAATTTATGCACAGATAAATATTCCCCATTTCTGTCAGTGTTAAGAGGAAAAATCAAGATTGTTACACTGACCATACGAAAGAAAACAAACCCAGGGAAGGCTAAGTTTCAGAAGAGATTTGCTGTGAATTGTTCAGAGTGGAGGAATGTGTGTATCTAGAAAAAGTGTTAGCATGAGAGTTAACAATAACCTGGTAATGCACATTTTTCTGTAATTGTCCATCCCCTATAACATGTACAGTGAACGCTATCAGCTTGCATGCTAGAGAACTCAGTGTGGCAATATAAAAGAAATTATAATAAACAGTAATTTACACATTCATAATAACTAACATGATTAATATTAAATGCATCTCATAAATTATATGGTAAGGCCTGTGTGATTACAACACAGCTTTATTTTGTAAGCTCAGCCTTTTACTGCTGGAATAATGAGATCAGTAGCTACCAATTGAATGACCCTAATTAAAGCATAAATTGCTTGCCTATCTGGCTTTATTTTGAACCAGAAAAATTCTATTTCTGACATTTTACTAGTTCTGCTACTGAGATAACTTCTACCCAGATAATTTCTAGTTCTCCTACCATGATATTCTAGAACTTGCCAATGGCACCCCTCCCTGAAAAGAAACAGATCCGTCTTTTCCTCAATATGAGAATTTCCTTGACCCCTGTTATTTAACCTCTTGAAGGCATGAAACCGTTTTGACTACTCTACAATACACTGATTTTTCATTGATTTTGTATTACATATTATAAACTATAAATCCTCAGCACGAAATTGAGCAAACTTTTCCATTGGATTACAAAATCAAGTATCGTCTAAACCTTCCAACCCCAATGAAAATCCTCAAACACATGAAAAGAAGAAACACACCCCTCACCTCTGTTTCCAGGAACCTTCTCAAGGCTCTTTTCTTTTTGATGCTCTTCCTTCTCACATACACTGCAAACGTCAGACCCACGATGACCAGGATGAAGAGCCCTCCAATGACTCCAGCTGCAATTAGAGGAGTTCTGCCCGCCAGAATGGAAAAGAGAGAAAAAAGGATGAAGGGAGAAAATATAGAGGAAGAGGAAAGAACAACTGTACATACCACAGATCTAGTCAGAAGGAATGCAAAGAAAAATGCGTTGGAGGTATAACAAAACGTTTCTCATGCTAAAAACTGGAGATGTTTTTGTTCTGTTTTGTTTTGAATACTAAACCATGCATATGCAATTAATCTTTGGAGATGACCAGCCACACAGCATGCCTTCCCATGAAAAAATGTAAAACTTGATAACAATGACGAACGTATGCCAAAATGTTGATATAGGAGCATTTTCAATTGTTTTACTTGTATCTATAAATCAATGGAAAGCAGATTTTAATTATTTTTGTGTGGTGTGTAATATTATTATACTCAATATTTTCTCCAAAACTGGCTTTCTCAACAGTGGCATTGTGGCATTTTGGGCTTGAGAAAATGCTTGTTGCGGGGAACTGTCCTGTGCAATTTAGGACATTTAGCAGCATCTTTGGCCTCCGTCCCCTGGATACCAGTAGCACCTCTATCCTGCAGTCATGACGATGTCTCTAGACATTGCCAACTGTCTACAAAAATCGCCCCCAGTGGAGAGCCGCTGCTCTAAGGAAATGGGAGAGGTCTGGAGACATAGGAACCCCGCAAGGCCGGAGTATGAGGATACCGATAAGACAGTTAGTAACAAGGGTGCCACTGAAGTCCAGTAAGGGCAACTTTGTTGGCAAGAGAAAGATAAAAAATTGGGTCACACAGAGTTGTGTCGACAGAAGTACATATTATCAAAAGTATATGTCGGCATCATCTACCCATAAAAGAGGTTTGCGCATGAAGTATTACATTAAAAAGGAGAAAAGAATACCAAAAAGTATCAGAAAGCGATTGACTAGAGATTTTTATTCTTAAAATTGTTAGCTCAGATATACTTTTGAGACTTTTCCTTTTTTATTGTTGTCTAAGGTAAAATGTTTCCGTGCTTAAAAAGTAATATTTGTGGTTTTAACTTCCTGTTCTAGAATAGAGTAGTATCTATGAGTTTTCTGTGTCCTGAGCCCTGGAATATGTTAATTTCACATGCCACAGCAAATAGTTCAGAGTAAAACACATAGGTGTTACCTAATACACATTTGACCATGAAACCATGATAGATATCGACACTAACAAATAATTCCCTGAACACCCAGGCTTTCCGTAGTGAAGTATTTTGTATCCTTTATTCCTATTTGCAGAAGAATCTACTCTGTAAGGCTACATTCTTTTAAGGAAAAAAAAAATACCTGTCTTGCAAAATAAACTTTTGCTTAAAGACAAATCGGAAATAATGATAGCAGATAGCAAATAAAACCTTAACATTTTAAACATCTCTTTAAAAAAATCTGTGTAACTTCTTGTATAAATGAATCATGCCTTTTAAAGATTATACTGTGTTATACTGTGATATAAAACTGCAGAAAAACTGTAAGAAGTAGTTCATCCTAAGGTTGTTTTCTGACAGCCGAAAGTACTATCACATGCTCAAATGTGGCTATGATTCAACTAGATTTTCCTAAGCAAAATTTTATAAAGATATAAAAATCTATGCTGAGAAAATTAAACTATGATACAGACACAAACTCATCATTGTTATGTGCTTTGGTGTGTGTAAGATCGTATTTTTGAGCACGCCAGTTAAATATGTATTTCAGAGTAATTTTGAGTTTTCAACCCAAGGAATAATTTTCAGCTCTAGTGCCTAACATATCCCTGAAAAGCCACTACTATAAAAAGGGTTGCATTTTTGTTTCCTCACCTCAGCTTTTTATTTCAAAGGATTTATGTGTGATTGAGAATAGTGTCCAATGTCTTGTTGATTGTGGGATTTACCTAAACTTTAAATTTCTTCTGCTTATGTATTTTGCAAAAGAATAAGTAGTATGTATTTATAAAAATATATGTCAACGTCAATAGAAATAAAAAAATACTTTGGTTTTTGTTTTTCATTTTAAGAGTGATCACTTATTATCGACTATAACAAGACCCCTGTCTCTATTCTTTTCATCTAATTTGGGTGGATAGCAATTGTCATGTCGTTATTACTTAGTTGTGCCATGGCAATAGGAATAAAATGTTAAAAAATGAAATAAACAGTAATTTCTATATTTTTCTCATTAGCATTTACTTTTGATATTTTCTCACAGCAGTTCCTTGGTTGATTTGCATTTCTTTACCTTTTTTCTTCTCTTACCACTCTGCAGTAATGGTAGAGGTACAAACAACCTGAAGAAGTGAAAAACTAGCGTTTCTGCACCTAAAGATCACACATAAATGTTTTGGACATTTTGAAAGGCCAAATTCTTCAGATTCCAGCAGAATTTACTCTTGAAAACAAGCTATTAACCATGAGTGAAATCAAGAAGGGAAAACATTCTATAAGATTACTTGAATGTTTTCTTTAATAACTAAATATCATGAAAAAAGGTACTAGTCTTCATTACAAAAACTTAATAGTCATAAAAAACAGATGTGAAATGTAATTCTGGATTGGATTCCAGGTTGGAAAAACTAGCTGTATAAACATTCTTGAGATAACTTGAAAAGTTTGAATATGAATTATATACTAGATGAGATGAAAATTTACTGCCATGAAACCACGTGGACCAGAAATTGGAAAGACTGGGTTACAAAGCAGTGAGATCTCAATTAGAGAAAAATTCACACACACACACACACACACACACCCTTGGCCAGACTTGTCCTCGCTGCAACAGGAAAATCAACCCAATTTGGCCTCCACCCATGATTACCCTTGACCATAGAGGGCCCAGCACCTATCTCAGCCCAACTCCACTCAGTACAGTAGCTGTAATACACACACACACACACACACACACACACACACACACACACACACACACAAACACCTGGAATAATATACAATAAGACAGTGAACAATATTTGTCTCTGAATAGTATGACTATGGTGTTCTTATTTTTATATTTTTACTAGTGGCCATTTTCTAATTTTCGACAATGTATTTGTCTTTTGAAACAAAAGTTTATTAAACTTACAAAAAAACAAAATAATAAATCACTGTCTAAAAGTTTAGTTTTATAATAATGGTGTTGTTTTATTTTTTTCTTGAATGTTTATTTATTTCCAATTAAGATTTAATTTTGCTTTTTACTGTCCACTTTTACAATCTAAATACTTCTGCATATTTTTCCATTCATTATAGTTTAACATGTCTGAGACATGTAATTATCATATTTCTTATCATTAAATCACGTTTCATGAAACCAAGCTAATCTGAAAAATTAATGCTACTTACACATATCCTACTCCCCCCAATTTTGATGATTCCTAGATATTTGTAGTTGTACAATAGGTGACCATTATTTTTCCTGAGAGTTAATGCTTCACTCTTTATGAGGACCATTTGGATAAAAAGGATGTAGCTACTTAAGTTGCTTCCTTAAAATGCTATATATCCCTCCTAGATCCAATGGGGGCTGTCACCAACTAAGCTATATTTCTCAGTGTTTCCTTTTACATGTTAGTCAGAGGGACCTCGAAGAGGCTGAGTTAGGACTTTGTTAATAAGATCATAAGGTCCAAACACCAAGGGGCCTAGCACATTCTGAAATTCCTTACCTATAACAGGAATGTTGTTTATTTGTGTTACTGGCTTGTCCATTAAAAATTGTTGGGACCACCTAAAGTATAACAGATGGGACACTGTAAGTGCTAAGTTAAAGCTTCAACTGAAAGGATGCGATCAATTGATAGTTTACCTTATTTTGTGCTTTGAAAATAGTATAATGAAACTGATATCCTTCCAGTGCTTATATAAACTAATATAATAAGGCTTCTGAATCACAAATGAACTTAGCTAATTTATTTTAAAACATACAATTTGGTTTTGATAATTTCATTTAGAATTTCAGAGACCACACGATGTATTATATTCTATTGCTGTGAATGCAATTACCTGTTCTAAACAGTTATATGTAAATGAGTAATGTCTCCCAAAACTATATGGCTCATATAATAAGACACATAAGAAGATATATTATCATTCATTACTATGTTTGAACCATGCTATTCCTCACTGGGGAATATAAAATGTGAGCTAATACATGGAACCTGATTTTAGAAACATCCAAATATTTTCTTTCATTGATCTACTTCTTTCCAGATATCAGATCATAAACAAAATATAGTAAAGTCAATATAATTTATAATTAAAATTCATATGCTTCTAAAACTATTCTGTTACACCATTTCCTGTTTCACGTGAAGGGCAGGATATCCTACAAAAAGAAAAAGGTACAGTGGTATTTTCTTTAAAAGTGTAAACTTGCTAAAACTGGTATTTGGGATAATATAATCATTGCAAAGAATGCTAAATCTCTGAGATTCTATTATAGGTCTTTCACCAAATAAAAGGATTTTAAATTTATAACATAGATATATTTTACTTAAATTCTTGCTTACATAATAATTTTCAATTAAAGATAAAGGAAGCAGTCTGCAGTCCAATAACACACTGATGGTATAATTCTCAGTCAACTTTGAGAATTACACTTTTAGAAGCTTCTATAATAAATTAAATTAAACAGTTTGCAGATGCGTCTTCAGGATTCATTGGATCAAACTTAGAGCTGCTTCACTGTTTATGGGTACTAAAGATTAAACATTTTTTTAAAAATTTAAACAAAAGGTAGAAATAAACAAAAACAATAGGCTAGTCAGGTAATTTTAATGGGATTTTTGTATAATAAACTGCAAGTCTCAGAAAGTGTAAAATAGTGCCTCACACATTATAATTATGTGTTTTGCTTTTAAACCTCCATGATTTTTTCTTTTAGTGGCATATAGTGCTGGAAGGTTCTTTGGAGGTTCACAATCTGAGTTTTAACTATGTGTCTGCCTGTAAGGAGTTATGATTGTGGTGCCTTTATCAAGCAATTTGGCTTAAATACACACAAACACATCTTCACCTAAGGCAAAACA